AGCAAAAAGGAAGAGGAATAGTAGGGACAATCGTGCAGCAATAAAAAACAAAAAACCGTGAAAGAGCAAAAGACTGTGAAAGATATATTGAAGGAGTTGCCTTCAATAAACACTAGATCAACACCTGGATTGATGACAGATGCTGTAAGTTCTTTGACATCAGAACAAAAAGATTGGGTGAAACGGATGGGATTTAAAGCCTTTTTAAGATCAACATTAAGAGTATTCCCTTAAAACTTTGCCATTTTGTGCTTAAGCATTACGATGAAGGCACAAACAGTATTCTGATTAAAGGAAAAAGAATAAAGATCACAAAGGAAAAAATTCATAAAGTGTTTGGTTTACCCAAAACTGGAAAAAGCTTATTTGATTTGCACAAGGTTAGTGAAGATCATCAAGTGTTTGATGGATGGATGAAGGAACTTGAACGGAAAGGCAAATGCAACAAACTACAAGAAGATTATTCAAAAATCCGAAACAAGTGGATATGAATTTCAAGCTGGGTTTCATAGCTTTATTTGTTAATACGTTTGCAGAATCCATTCTATGGGGACAAACAACTTAGTTCCAGTTAGAGCACTTGTTGAAGTAGATGACATTTCTAAAATCGATTGGTGTGCATATTTGTTGTACTGTGTGAAAAATTCAAAAGGGAGATGGCATCCAGACAACCCCAAGTGTTATTATATAGGCCCGATGTTGTTGCTATTGGTATGTTTTTTCATATACTTATTTTTTTTTCTTAAAAATGGATATCTAATATGATGTTGAAATAATGCAGCTAATTTACTGTGATGAAATTGAATGCAAGCTCCAAAAAATAGAACGTAAAACACCATTAGTTACGATGTGGACAGCAGATAAGTTGAAGGAAAGACAATCTTTTGAGATTGAAGCTGGTGGATTTGGGGTTGGGAATCTAATTGAAAAAGTTCAAATTTAGAACTTGAGAAGAATGAAAATCAGGTGAATGAGAATCAGGACATGCGTATTGAGGTATATTCTAAGTAGAATATATTATTAAATTATGTTTTAGAATATATTTTAATTATATCCTAACTTAATATAAGAAAAATATTCTAATGTCTTTTTTTCCCAGGAGTATGAAGAAAAGTATGAAAAAATTTTCAACAATGTCTCAACTGAAAAGAATGATATGGAAGATATTATTTTTCATTGTCTATCGAAGTTCCCTGAAGACAATAAAACGAAGGAGATGATAAGAAAGTTTAGAGACATATTTTCAACTACACTTTTTTCTAGTCGAGAGAAATCAGAAACTATTAAGGAGAGAACTGAAGTCAAATCAGATAGAGATGAAGAGCTTAATAAAACAAACATTTCTGATTCTGATGATGATAAAGATGAAGGAATGAATACAAAGTTGGTTGCATTTTTAGCTGTTAAACCATTACAACAGAAGTTTCCAGAGAATGAAGAAACACAAGAAGAAGATCAAGATATGAATGTTGATGACCGAATAAATTTGGGTTTTGAGAATAATATTGGCGAGGAAACGATTAGACATCCGCATAATCCAGAAAGACAAATAGAATTTGAAGGCATAAATGTTGATGACAAAATAAATTTGGCTTCAGGGTGAATAATATAGACGAGACTATTGAAAAAAAGAATTTAGAAGACAATGTTGATAGCAAAAATCTTGTTAAAGGTGGTGAAATTATTGGTGGGGAGAATATTAGGGAGGGGAATATTGTAGAGAAGGTGGTTGGAGACAACATAGGTGAGAGCTCAATTGTTACACCAAAACACAATCCAAAAGGTATATCTATTGATTTTTCCCCTTGGTCTGATTCATTCATAGAAAAAATGGATGAGGATTTGCTTAGAATATTCTCAAACAGAAATCCAGATTCAAATACAATTCAAAATCCAGTTGTCAGATCTCCTGTTCCAAAAAAGCTAACATTTGAAAATTCAGAATTTCCCTCCTTTGATCTTCAAATAACCCAACTAATAAACAATGCAGAAACTGGTGATAATTCTGAGGGTAATGATGAAGATGGAGAATTAGAAGGGAATGAAGAGCATATTTTAGATGAGAAAGGGAAAAAGGGTCAGAATGTGAATGAAAGAGGGAAAAGGAAGGTGACTAATCCAGATATTTTTAGATCACCTTTTGTGAATAGGGTAATTGACTTAAGTGAAAAAGTCAGTACTGAGCAAGAGATAATGGCGCAAATCATGTTTAGATGCGTTGCAGACAAAGATCCAATGTAAGTAAATTCATAATTGTGTAATATTCCTATTGGAATATTTTAACTACAATTCAATATTTTTGTTTTGAAGGGAAATGCTGTTTGAAACTGAGTCTGGAGACATAATGGATAGGGTGCATTTTGAGGGTATGCGTCCAAATCATAAGATACATCCTTTCGTTATTGATTGTTGGGCTGCTGTTCTTAATTTTGAAGAAGAAAACCTGAGAAACAAAAAATCACCACCACGTGTCTTCTTCAACACTCAAATTATGGTACTTAATTTTTAAATTTATTTTCTATATTCTAATTATAATTTAAAACAATGTATTATAATATTTCTATTGTTCTATATGTACAGACAGAAAAATTACTGGATTCTTCAATACCTTTTGTTGAAAGATCCCGACTTTTTGATGAGGCTGTAAACAATTACTTATATGACATCAAAAGAAAAGTGGATTTCAATTCTATTAATCTGGTATGTATTTTTGATTACAAGATAACATATTCATATTAAAATTTATAAAAATTCATTTGTATTTATGTTTGAACTACAGGTGTTTTTTCCAATACACAACCGTGGTCATTTTTATTGTATTCTTTTCAACCTTACAAATCCAGAACATATAATCATTGACAACATAAGATACACCAAAAAAGTAGAAGATGTCTATGGAGAGATTCCTAAACTTGTGGTAAATGTTTCTTCCATAAATCTAAAAACTTTATTTTAATCATAATTGTTTACTTTAAAAAACCACTCTGTATTAGTAAATAAATTCTGATTAGAATATAAAATATAATATTTATATTCTTATAAGATTTATTTACTTAATATAGTTATCATTTTAGAAAAATAATGGTATTTTATTAATATGCATTGCAGCAAATGTACTTTTCAAAGTTTTTGGACAACAATCGGCGGGATAAGGTTTCTTTGTTTAAATCTATGAAGCCAAAGAAAATGAAAATGGCATGGCAAACAAAAACTAAGACAAATGATGATGGTATATTTTTGATGAGGCATATGGAAAAATACATGGGTGAGAAAGAAGAAAAATGGGATGTGGAACTGGGAGAAGAAAGTGTTAGGACATCTAAAAAGATTGCAAAGTTGCGTACATTTTATGTTTCTAAGCTAGCAAACCATCAAATCAACAAGCAGAGAAAATTGAATGTTACAGAAGCATTGGAATTTTCAAAACTTGATAAGAAAACTAGGTGTATGTTGGTGAAAGAAGGCAGTGAAGCAGGAGACAATTTGGAAATGAAGAAAGTTTGAAAATTTCCTTATATTGGCTTATTACATACAGACATTTTATTTTCTATTTTGTTTTTTTTTAAATGCTTATGTTTGAGGATATACTTAAACCATTGATATTTTGCTAAATGATATGCTTAAACCAGTTAGTTGGTATCTTGATAAAATATTTACTGCTTAATAGTAAATGATATATTGCGTTTAAACTTTTTGTTTGATGATGCCTATTTATTTGATTAAAAAATTGTTTGGTAAAATGATAAATGATTAAAACACATATTGTTAATATTGTATTAAGCTTATTCTAATTTGTTTTATGTGAATTATTCTGATTATTCTGGTTTCATTAAAATACTTAATAATAAAACGTTTTAATATAATATGTAATTTTGTTTTACAATATTTTAATAAAAAGAATAAATGAAATTATATTTAGTATCATGTTACAATAATAAAAAATTACGATAATAAAAATTTTAGTATACTTTATAAAAAAAATACATTGTCTCTATTAGTATAAGTAAAATTTTAGAATAAATGAAAATATTTATTTTAGAATATTTGTAATTAAGTAATTTTATTTTACAATTAAAATAATATTTGAACCAAACTGTAAGTTTTTAAATTAAAAGGGACTAAAAATACTAGGACTTATTTTCCAGGGACGAAAAAGGGACAAACGTGATAACTTTGAGATTTTATACTTATGCACGATGGAAGAACATTAAAATGAAAAAACTCAATTTCTTCATCTGTGTTCTCAAAAACCGTCTTCCAAAACTTCTTATCATTTTCGGTTTTAAACACTCCATCAAAACCCTAACTTCTTGTGCTCTTGAACTCGTCATCTTCGATTTCTCCCTGTATCAATTTCAATTTTCGATGTTGTGAATCCGATTTTCACTTGATAACATCGATAAAACCCTAAACTTAATTTCATTCTTATCGAGTATTTCTTATCAACGAAAATGGCTACATCAACGCGTGCTTCAGAATCTACACCATCAGATCACCTAAATGCCATTATTACCAAAACTTCTCAAGAAATTCCAGGTATTTTAGTTCTGTTAATTATCATTTATATCCTTGAGTTCGTTTGAAAACGGCGATATATCTTTGAGAATTGACCTTCTATTGTTCCTCCAGTCTCCATATCTACATACTAATAATTAGGGCATCGGGCTCTTGTTTCTTAGTGAATATGGCGTTTTTGTGTTGTTTGAGTATGTATTTATAACAAAAATATGCCCCTACTTATATTACATTTAATACATTCTTATGTGGGATTCTTTGGATTAATGATAAATAAAGCTTTAGCCTTTCATCTATTTGCAGGGGCATTCAGTTTTGATTTCAACCAAACACATTTATTTATTACTTTTGAGATTTTGTGTGTATGTGAAAAAGGAAATATACACAAGTGCTTTCAAGGCAGATATGAAAAGAAACATTCTCATGGTATTGGTCCTGGTGGTCTTGGTCTGAATAAGAATAATAAAGTTTTTCCATTAAACAATTGCATATTATGTCCTCTAATAATTCAGAACTTGATCTGAATTAGTATAGAACTCATCACATAAACAAAAACAAAATTGTGTAATTAACAATCAAGTTATTATATGTGTTTTCTGCATTTTCTGATAAAATAGAGAGTTATCATTCCACTTTTGACATCTTACTATGTGATTCAACTTCTAACTGTTCTTTTACACAAAACTTTAATCATTATATAAACTTTATGCATGGTTAAGTCAAGCATCACTAGGGTAAGTGGATGGAAAAAATACTATGTACAGGGACATATTCATCAATTTGCTTCTGTTTTTAATGTGTATGTATGTAACTGTGTTTATAGAAAATTCGAGTAATTTTAATCTCATAAAGAAACAGTGCAGGGGCATATTGGTCAATTTGCTTTAAATTTATTATGTGTATCTTTATATGTTGTTTTCTTTGTGTGTATGTATTATGATGAGTTAGAATATAATTTTGAAATAAATGTAAGTGTTTTTCTATTACAGATTACATTTAAATTGTATTTAACATTAATTATTTTCATGCAGATAATATTATAACAAGAATGACAAAATCAAAAATAAAAATGATGACACTGGGTAGAAGTAGTGAAGTTGAAACTTCAACAGGCAAACAGTTGGTTCAAAAAAGAAAATCATCGAAGTCGATCAATCAATTAACAACTACAACATCAAAAGAAAAACAAAAAAAAGGTATATCATCAATTATTCTATTCTAATAAAAATATTTACCTCATTTATTTCTGTTATTCTATGTATTATAATAAAATATTCTATATTCTATTATTGTTTTTCTATATTCTATTAATTTTATTCTAATATAATATTTTTAATTGTTAATCTAATTTGTTTCTGTTATTCTATATACTTTAATAAACTATTCTATGTATTATAATAAAATATAAAAGAATAAATGATATATTGTGTATTCAATGTTTTCTAATAAAATATTTATCTCATTTGTTTATGTTATTCTATGTATTACAAATAAAATATTCTATATTCTATTAATGTTTTTCTATGTTCTATTAATCTTATTCTAGTAGAATATTTTTAAATGTTACTCTAGATATTTGGATATGATAAATCAATTATTATTTCCTAATTTGATTATGAAAATGACAATAAACAGCAAGAAGGTTGTATATGGATAAAACTCATGAAAAAACTTCAATAGCCGAACGACTAATTGAAAGAAGAAAATCATTGAAGCTTATTGATGAATCAGCCAATACAACAGCAAAAGCCAAAGAAAAAAAAGGTATATCATCAATTATTGTATTTGTACTATAATATCTTGTGTATTAATGTTATTCTAATAGCAAGAATGTCATATATAGATAAAATTCATATTTGTTATTATTGATTATGCATTTACAATTAGAGTTAGCATAAGCATTTTACATCATTATGATTTTATACTTTACAATTCCAATATTATGGAACAATATTATGTTTGACATCAATTGCTTATGGATCATAACTGAAAATTCTTGGTATTTTGATGTGAAAGTATTTTTCTATTGTTTATTGATGTGAAAGTATGTTTCTATGATATGAAATATTTATGGTTCATATTACACATTCTATATATTATTATATCATAAATCATGTTATACTTGATTTTTTTTTGTTTTACTTAGCTGATATAGGATTTTGCAACATTTGAGTTTAAATTTTTATAAATAATATATTTTGAATAAATATCTACATTTTACTTAGATGATATAGTATTTTTGGATTAAATTTCATAGAATATTCTGATATAATAAGTGTATATGTATAATATTCTGTTTGGAATATTACTTTGTAGTGACAAAGATTAAAGAAGGAAAACGGAAGACGAATAGTGGGGACAATCGTGCAGCAATAAAGAAACAAAAAACCGTGAAAGAGCAAAAGACTGTGAAAGATATATTGAAGGAGTTGCCTTCAATAAACACTAGATCGACACCTGGATTGATGACAGATGTTGTAAGTTCTTTGACATCAGAACAAAAAGATTGGGTGAAACGGATGGGATTTAAAGCCTTTTTGAAGATCAACATTAAGAGTATTCCCTTAAAACTTTGCCATTTTGTGCTTAATCATTATGATGAAGGCACAAACAGTATTCTGATTAAAGGAAAAAGAATAAAGATCACAAAGGAAAAAATTCATAAAGTGTTTGGTTTACCCAAAACTGGAAAAAGCTTATTTGATTTGGACAAGGTTAGTGAAGATCATCAAGTGTTTGATGGATGGATGAAGGAACTTGAAGATGGAAAGGCAAATGCAACAAATACAAGAAGATTATTCAAAAATCCGAACAAGTGGATATGAATTTCAAGCTGGGTTTCATAGCTTTATTCGTTAATACGTTTGCAGAATCCATTCCTATGGGGACAAACAACTTAGTTCCAGTTAGAGCACTTGTTGAAGTAGATGACATTTCTAAAATCGATTGGTGTGCATATTTGTTGTACTGTGTGAAAAATTCAAAAGGGAGATGGCGTCCAGACAACCCCAAGTGTTATTATAAAGGCCCGATGTTGTTGCTATTGGTATGTTTTTTCATATACTTATTTTTTTTTCTTAAAAATGGATATCTAATATGATGTTGAAATAATGCAGCTAATTTACTGTGATGAAATTGAATGCAAGCTCCAAAAAATAGAACGTAAAACACCATTAGTTACGATGTGGACAGCAGATAAGTTGAAGGAAAGACAATCTTTTGAGATTGAAGCTGGTGGATTTGGGGTTGGGAATCTAATTGAACAAAGTTCAAATTTAGAACTTGAGAAGAATGAAAATCAGGTGAATGAGAATCAGGACACGCGTATTGAGGTATATTCTAAGTAGAATATATTATTAAATTATGTTTTAGAATATATTTTAATTATATCGTAACTTAATATAAGAAAAATATTCTAATGTCTTTTTATATTAGGTTAAAGTATGATTTTATAAAAATCTGGATATTCTTATATTACATGCTTATGGTTCATAGTAAATATTCTAGATATTCTGAGATGATAAAATATTACATGCTCATAATTATATTATTTTATTATTTTTCAGGAATATAAAGATAACTTTGATAAGATGTTCAATAAAGTTTCATCAATAAAGGAGGACATGTATGGAATTGTTTTTGATTGTATATCAAAGTTCCGAGATGTCAATATAACAAATGAATTGAAAGAGAAGTTCATTAAGTTATTTTCAGATCCTATTTTTTCAAGTGCTGATAATCAAAACAATGAAAACAAAAAAAGGGATCACATGAAAGGGTTGAATCTCAAAATGGTGACACAGGGGAGAATTATATAAGTTCTTACAAATCACCATATATGGATAAAGCTGTGAATTTATTTGATAGAATCGATTTGCAGAATGTTCTTTTGATTCAGGTTCTAATAAGATGTGCACAGGAGAAAAATAGAATGTAAGTCACTAACTCTTGGTATAATACATGTGTATATTTATTCTAATGTTGATGACATATTTTTTGTTCATGTTTAAAATTAAGGGAGGTACTTTTTGAAACAAATACGGGAGAGATTATGCATAGACAGGATTTTGAGAGCATGCGGCCTGAACATGTTATACATCATCGTGTGATTGATTCTTGGGCTGCTGTTCTAAATTACGAGGAACAAAAATCAAAAAGTAAACCATACCGCCTGTTCTTCAATACCAAAATTATGGTAAATTCTTTTACAATTGGAACTTCTATATTTTAGTTGTAAATTGTAACAAGATATTCTAATTTTTCTGTTTTTCTATGTTTACAGAGTTCTGAGTTGTTAGATGAAACTAAATCTTTTGACGAGCGTTTTTTAACTTTTGAGACTCGTGTTGATAAGTTTCTATCTAATTTCAAGGCAAATGTAGATTTCAATGATCTTAAACTCGTAAGAATATTTTATTAATTAAAATATTACATTATTAAAAGATAGGAATTATGTTAACTTTTTGATGAATTTGTTGGAATTGCAGGTGGTTTTCCCAATACATAACGGTGATCAGATGTATGCTGTTGTTTTCAACCTAACATATCCACAAGTTCATATTATAGACAGCATACAAACAAAATCGTTAGAAAAAACTTATGGAATGACACCAACATCATTAGTAAGTTTTCATTTACTTTTATTAATTGTATTAAAGTTACAATATAATATATTTAATAATGTAATTTTGTTAATATACATTGCAGAAATTGTACTTTATACGATATTTGGAGAAAACTACATTTATCATCAATAAAATCAAAGGTTTGCGATCAACAACAGTGAAGATGATGAAAATTGACTGGAACACAAAGGAGTTGACAACAGAGAATGGAGCACTTTTAATGAGACATATGGAAAAATATTGTGGAGAAAAGCAAGGAAAGTGGAATGTGGAAATGGAAAAAGGCAGTGATGTGCAAGATGTTCAATTTGTAAAATTACGTGCCTTATATGCTGTTAAGATTGCTACACATGAAATCAACAACCACAAGGATAGAGTTATCAAAGAGGCAATCGAATTTGGAAAATTTGATCATGCGACTAGAAAAAAGATGTTAGAGGAAGGTATCCAAAGGATGGATGAATTGGAAATGGGTAATAGAATTTGATAGAAGTTTGGAATTTTATAAATGTGGTTATGGTGACTTAACAACAATTCCTTTTCTAATATCTGTATTATTTTGAACAAATTAGACAAAAAAAATGATGCCTAGTATTATGTAAGAAACTTGATATGGTTTATTAGGTGATTAATGCTTAATGTATAGTAGGTATTATGATCACTTCTTAATGATATGGTTTATTAGGTGATTAATGCTTAATGTATAGTAGGTATTATGATCACTTCTTAATGACCATGGTAGAATATTCTAATAGAATAATGTATAATGGCATCAGTATTCTATTAGAATAATATTAGATGTTGCATATACCTATATAACATTCTTACATGCATAATCTTGTATTATAATATTTTGATAACAAAGCATTATACTGCAATCATTCGTATATACTTCAAAAAATTAAAGATTGAAAATATTAGAAGAATCAATATGTTCTCAAATGTATAACACATCATCACAACCCAAATGTCTCATACATCATCACAAACCAAAACAATAGAAAAAAATCCAAACTAAAAAATTCAAACTTTTATCTATATGGTATTATTGAACTTTATTGAAATACAAAAAAAATCGAAATATATTTCTAGACACAACTATGCACTTTGTACCTTGGAGTTATTCAACAATGTCAAACATTTCCTTGAATTATGCCCTTTAACCCCACATGTTTTGCATGATCTTGATTGCTTGTTACCTTGAATAGTAGCCTTCTCCAAAGCACTTTTTAAACGTTTTCCTGTACCAGAACCTTTATTCTTCACCATAGGTGGATTTTCAACATCAACAACTTCAGGATTCGTAGTAGCTCCGTAAAGTTTATCAATATGAGCTTCTTTTGTAACCGGTAATTTGTCTGAACCTTGTTCACCAATATCAGTCATAAAAACTTCAAGCTTCTGCATGAACTCTTCTAACTTCTTGTCATCATTACTTAATGAAGACAGGCATTGATCAAGCATGGAAAAAGCTTTGTATGCAACCTTCTCAACATTTCCAGACGAATCACTATATCTAAACGTCCTTTTCAAAACTGTGGTGGGGATAATATCTCTTCTCCATCTCTTAAGAATGTATCTTGACGGAATCTCTTGTATGTCATAAATCTTTAGAATACAGAAGATGTGTCTACAAAAAATTCCAAACCGCTCAAAAAGCATGCATGAACATTTCACCGTTAGATCTTCTCTGTTGAATTCAACCTGTTTCAAAAAGTATTAGCATAATAAGCATATTCAAAAAAGAAAAATTAGAATATTTTTTCAAAATTATTAGAATATTAAGTATATTCTAAAATGTCAACATTACCTCAAAATCACCTTCACTTGTGTTAAAATTCCATTCAGAATCGATGTCAACTTTTTCTTTTTTCTCAACTACTACCTTCTTCTTTGATATATTTGTCCTTTTATGTTTGACAATGCATATGTCAGAAACAACGCCTGATGTAACACTCTTCTGTGAACAAGAAACAAGTGAATGAAGAATCTCCCTCTGCACCATGAGAAAAATAGTCCTGGTGTATACCATAGATGCATGTTTCTCCATATCTTCAAGAGGTGTTTTGATGATTGGAATTATAGTAGATGTATCAAAATCAAATTTGATCTGATTATTCCTTTGCCTTTCCATAACAGACTCAAAAGCATTCATAAAATTGTTTAACGTATAACCATGATGCGATACCCTATTGAATGCTGAATTCTCACTTTCTGACCGAGAAGTTGTTCTCATTAGACCTGACATCGGTACATCTTTAAAATAGGCTGGAATCCAACTGCTTCTCAAATCAAACATATCTTTCATCCATTTATTGTCTTGCAACTTATATTTTACCATTAATGCATCCCATCTCATTTCAAAATCATTGACATCAATTTTGGAGTCCCATACTATACTATTGAAGTCCGCCTTAAAATCTGATTCATTCATTGTTTCCCAGCTTACCTTCAAAAACAATTCATATATTATTCTGTTAGAATATAATATAGTATAAAAAGGCATTTCATTTAATCTATTATCCTAATTACAAAAAATATTTCATTTAATATTCTGATAAGAATATAACAATAATGTTAGTACCTTCAATGGAAGTTTACTTGTGATATGCCACATACAAAATCTATGTTTTGTGTATGGAAATACTATCTCAATAGCTTTTTTCATTGCTGGATCTTGATCGGTCACGACCATGATTGGTGCTTTTCCAAAACACTTCAAGAATGACCGAAGTAACCAAATATAGGAATTTGTATCTTCTCTACACAACAAACCAGCTCCAAAAGTGACGCACCTTTTGTGATTATCAATGCCAGTAAAAGGTACAAATACCATACAATACCTAAAAAAACACAAAAAAATACCATTAGAATATATAACTAAAAATGTTTATATTTCTAGAATAAATACCTGTTTGTACGATATGTTGCGTCAAACGAAACAACGTCCCCAAATAACTCAAAGTTTTGTTTTGAAGTGTCATCAGCCCAAAAGAGAGCATTTAACTGCTTCTTGTCACATCTGTATTCGTATGTAAAATTTGTAACATTCTCTTTACAATTCTGAAGCTTTGTAATCAACAAATTTGCATCAGTGCCCCCAATGTGACAATTTATATCCCTTTTAAAATTTTTCCAATCTATCTCTATTCCATCAACAAATTCACATCCTCCTTTTATAACGCACATTAGTCTATATGCTGTAGTTGCCCCCACCTTTGCACTCGAAAGCTTATGTATAAAAGCTTGATCAACAACATTCAACTGACGTTTAGCTCTTGAAAGATGCATACAATCTTGATTGATCAATTTGTGGTTGTGTTGTTGTTCAAAGCGCCACAGGTAAACTTCTGAAGAATGTGGTATAGCTTTGAATGCAACAAAAGCTTTGCAATTTGTGCGTTTACAATTACTATTTCTCAATTGCTTATTATGATCATCACTAATTGTGTCTAAGGTAGAAGTGTTTGGCAATCCCCCTCTATTGCATATAAAATATTTCGAAGTTGTGATTCCACTCTTTTTCCTCTCTGTTGATTTTCTAATATCAAAACCAGATCTTAATGCATATCCTTTATACCACTTAATAGCATCTTTGATATCTTTAAAAATTGAACCCAAAGTAGGTATCCAACCAGGTTCAACCTCTGGAATCCAAAATAAAGAACCATCAGCTCCAATGAATTGTTTGCAAGAGCCATATTGTGCTGCAACATTGTCACTTTGAACTATAAAAAAGAATATACTACCATGTTAACATATAATCATAATAATTTGCATGCATATGAATGTAATCATAAAAAACCACAATCTTATATGTGCATTATTCTATAAGCATAATATGCAGTAACATGAACTTATCACCAACATCATTCTATTTACCTTGGATTTCCAATTGATTTCCATCATTATCCAGAATCTCTGAATCACCAGATCTGAATTGATGATTTTCTTCATCGTAATGATCATTTCCGATGTCATTCATATCTAAATCATACATAATTGTTACTACATTAAAAATTGAATATGTTATATGCAAATAACAATGAAAACAATGATTACCTTGGGTTTCCGATTGATTTTCCTCGTTATGAAGAAACTCTGAATCAGTATAACCGAACTGTTGATTTTCTTCATCAAGATGATTGTTTTCGATGTCATGCATATCCAAATCATCCATAACTGTTATCATTATTGATATATCAATGTATGTAAAATATTCTATAAGAATAACATGCAGTCTCATGAACTTATCATGAACTTATCACTAAGATGATGTTAATGAAAAGCAAATAGATGATGTTAATCAAAAGAAAACAGATGACATATTGCTGAAAAACATAATGATTAAATGAAAAGTTAAAAAACAAACAATGAAATAGGTGATGCATTGTCAAACAACATATTATAGATTAAATTGTTTTCTAGCTCAAACAAATTCAACAACAAATGATCTTTGATTGCTGAATTAGATGTCTCAACAAAAGATGATGTTTGATTTCTGAAATCACAAATCATACAAATATAAAATTGGAGAAATCGATAATAGCTTGATGATTCAATTCACGAACTAGGTTAAAAATTGAATACGTTATATGCAACTAACAGTGAAATCGATGAAAACTCAAACCTTGATCAATTGACGATTTCATGCTGTTGAGTAAAATTCACGGCTTGAAAGATCATAAACAATTGTTGAAGATGAGGATTAGAAGAAATCGTTGAACACTTGAACCTCTACTGAAATCGATTATCACAAAGTTAAAATTGATCAAAATCACTCGGCTTATCAATTGCAGATGAAGAAGAATCAAGAACATGAACTCGAATAACACAAAAATCGTGAATTTAAAAGCTCTGATTTAGCATCGTTCGATCAATGTCAAAAATCAAATCGATTATCGGTTGAAAGAATATAAGATTGGAGATAGAATATCGATCAAATTGAATTGAAGAACAATGAATGTTGTTTCATCGTATAAATTGGTAGAAACACATGAACAGGTGACATGATTTCTGGATGACATGAAAATTAAGCTAACCTGATATCTTAAATTTAACCTACTGACTAATCTACCCTTAATTAATTAATCAGCTAGATTAATTAATATTAATCCTTTTTTCTATGAGCCACAAGATCAAATCTGATCAAAGGCTAAGATTTGGTCTCCATGTCTCACAAAATATAGGTGGTCTCAAATGAACCTCTATATATATATATATATATATATATATATATATATATATATATATATATATATATATATATATATATATATATATATATATATATATATATACCACCCATAAACATTATATCATCTCAATAGCTACGAGGTGACCATCCTCACCTACCAGTAGGACCGATCGAATGAAGTAAGTCACCAATTGTGAAAGAAACATATAAAGGCTTTACAATTTACAAATAGTATGCTTCATATACTCATATACGTATGTATCCATATTTATAAATCATCATGAACTCACCCTGGATTAACAAAAATTCGTTATTCCCTTTTCCTTCGTGCTCTCTTAATTACAAAGATTCTAATATCCATTATCATAAATAAATAGAACATACAATCTTACAATAATAGAATGAATAGTTGGATGCCGTAAGTCACACTCATTTTGATCTTATCAGGTTTTACTAAATTTTTTATAATATACCCTTATACTGTCGTCATTGTTAACCTTACAAAATTTAGTGACTATTATTGTTGATCAATTTTTTTTTGAGATTGTTCTTTATTCATTTTGGTTATTGTTCAAAGTTTTGTTTTTTAGTTATTTATGATATTTTTCTATATGCAGATGTTGGTATTCATTTGCTTTGCTTACTGCTAATCTGGTTCCTAAGGATAGATCAACCACCAAATTTGATTTTGACGGATGTGCTTATTACAAATCAAAGAACCATTAGATGTATCACAGTCCATTGTTACTCAATAAGGAAAAGCAACAACATAATATACTATCTAGATTGTTTCAACTACCATTTTAGCCACGTAACCCTCATATACCACAGTCTACTGATGTTATACCTACATTAGAAACAAATGTTCATGCCACCACGACGCCACCTTCTGCCTTGGATACTCAGGTTATGCAGCTAATATAATATCTTGTTTACAATCATACGACGATGCCTACATTTATGTCTCATTCAGGTATGTCCTTATCCAATACTTTAGATATTCTTTTCTCCTTATGGATCTTGGATTCTGATGCAGCACATCATAAGTCACGTTGTTTGCCATCCTTTGTTTTTTTGTTTGATAGAACACTCATTTTGGTAATGTCTAACAGTGTTACATCTATACATGTAGATAGTTTTAGCTTCGTATTTACTCCTCATAGATTACTTACTAATGTCTAGTACATTTACATAATTGCATTAAACCTTAATTCACAAATGATATCCAGCCTAGCTACCGGGTTTATAACCCACAATGGGGTGAGGTTGGATGTTCAAATCTTTGGGACTCCATAAATCCTCTTTAATTGCTCATTGTGGGGAAATTTTCCTTGGAATTCCCATCAGGGGCTGGGTTTGCTCGATCCTGGGGTGCACGTTTAAAAGTACGTGTAGGCTTCGTAATTCATTTGCCGTTTCCAAAAAACATTAAACCTTAATTCAACCAGTCAATTGTATAAATATGGTTATTGTGTTTCCTTTTCTATTTCTCTTTGTTGTGTACTTGATCCATGCTTTAAAAGGGTGATTTAGAAAAGTCGCAACATAGAACAACTATATGTTATGGATCAATTGAAAGTGTCTAACGTCGCTGTAGTTCCGGTTTTTCATATATATATATATATATATATATATATATATATATATATATATATATATATATATATATATATATATATATATATATATATATATATATATATATATATATATATATATATATATATATCTGTGTGTGTGAGACATTCCGGTTTGGAACATGTGATAAGGTTATGTTTACAATTTCTAATCTCTACATGTGTTTTAGGTTATTTGAATATTTGTGATATTTTTTATTGTAGTGGTGGTAAACTAGCTATATTTTCTGCATTACCGATTAGTAAAAGCGTCTCTTGTTTTTTTTGCTCCTTTTGATCTTATGCATTCTTATGTATGGGGTCCATCCCTAGTGCATCCAATGGGAGCTTCCAGCTATTATGTTTTCTAATCCTCAAAGTGGTAGGAGCGGGTGTCACCACCTGTCCCGCTGATGCTAGGCTGGGACACTGGGATTTCTTGTGTCCCCTCTGATTGCACTGAATGCAAATCTGGTCAAATGTTGTAGTCGTGGTGGTGGTAGCAATACAATCCCTGCTCATATGTCCAGTTCAGTTGCACTTGAAGCAGCCGGAACTCCCTGCCTTGCACACCTCATCGTGCAACTCGCCGCATTTGCCACAACGGCTACGGCTCTGCTGGCCCTAGACGTATGATCAGACACCTTGGACTTTTTTCCCGAACTCACCATGCCAGACGCCACCTCTAGCTTCCTCTTCCTTTCCATCTCTAAATCAATCTCTCTCACGAGACCTAGCAATCATGTCCTCCAGCCTCTTACAACTGGAGCGACTCACAAACTTTCTAATATCACTCCTCAACATCCCGTGGTATCAAACATTCTTCATCTTCTCGTCCTCCATGTACTGCAGAACAAGAAGGGCTCTCTCCTTGAACCTGGCGGTGATCTCCGCCACTATCTCTGTAGTCTGCTGGAGGTCCTGAAACTCTCTAGCAATCTGATGCACCTCAATAACAGATGTGAACTTGGCCCTGAACCTGGTTGTGAAATCACTCCAGGTCATCGCATCCAACACTGTATCATCACCAATGGCTTGTTCGACTTCCTCCCACCAATAACGTGCGATGTCCTTCAGAAGACAGGATGCTAATCTAACCTTTTCCCCCTTGGGACAACTACTGGTGCGGAATGCGTTGGCGAAATCAGCCAACTACCTAGTACTCACCATGGGGTCCCGAGCCCTATGGTAGTCGGGAGCACCACATACTCTGAACTCTCTAAAGGTGAGTGTGCGTGACCCCATCATGGCCGCCACCTCAGTGCAGAAAACACTCAATCTCTCATCCATAAGCTCCAGGATACCCTCCTTGATCGAACCAAAGATTGTGTGTGATCTCTGAGGAGATGAGCTCAAGAATATTGTGTGTGATCTCTGAGGAGATGAACTCCCTAGTCTGCTCATCTAGATGGTCGGCTCCACAACCTGAGCCTGATCCCTCACTGGCACCTGAACTGCCAACTGTCGCTCTAGGGCGTAAAACCACCATTATGAAAAACACATCATAACAACTGTCAGAACATTAACATAACTCGAGGAATCACATACATTACAAGTTTCGTGGATTCATCTTAGCCTCCCTTGACTCGAGTATGGATCATCTACTTTCAGTAGTACGGGCCCATACTACCTTCCACATATATCCGTACTTTCCTCAAGAACCACCTTGACTTCACTAAGTCCCTTCTACTACTAATGCTTCACACGCTACTCTCATCCTAGGCTTGTCCTAGGGTAATCACCATCCCACTCTCTTCCATCAGCTGCATAAGAAGTCCCTGCTACCTTTCCCTAACTAGCTCGCGAATACTATTACATATCACTAAGAGTAGATAATTCTTCGAATGAGAGGTTCTACCCTACAACAGTTAGACTCAAATGAGAGCTGTGAATAAGGCTAAACCTAACCTTATGAAATTATTTAGTCCTTGCAAGATGTAACTTAACATATTCGTATACTAGTTAGTAAAACACAACTAGAACTCCTAAAAGCACAAAGCAAGCAGCATTCAAGCATTGAGTACACATAATCAACACATACTAATCAAGCTATCATACTGTCTAATCTATACTAGCATGCATTTCATAAAGCTGATACACATATAACATGTAACGCCCTGATTTTTCAGGTATTGGTTTTGAGAGAATTGTATGGATTTCAAGGTCTACTCGGCGAGTTGGCTGCCCTACTCGTCGAGTAGCAACGAGTTTGTCCGCTTGTTTTAGTAACCTACTCGCCGAGTCCAAGAAGGGACTCGAAGAGTCGGAGCTGGATGATGAAACCCTAATTTCCGGGGTTTTACACCCTATTTAAGGACCACTTATCCCCCTTAGCCTCTCTTACGGCTCCCCTCAAATTTAGAAACCCTAATTGTATTT